GAGTGAATTCAACAGGGAAGAAGTCAAGAAACTAATACCTCCATATTTGTAATAACAGGGATCTAAGGATAGTGCACTATTAGAAACATTGTTGCCTTCATCAAGTGAAACATTAACTTTTTAACACCTACCATCACCACCAAATAAAGCAAAATTATCCTGGTTTTCAAATTAATAGCCACAACCACTAACGTTTTTTATGCCCATCTTGAGGCCTGATGATGGTAGAATAATCTCCCAGATTGACATAGTATAGCCAAGTCCTACTAGTTGATTGACAAAATATGCAAACCAGTCATGCTCATATATCAAGTGGACTTGATATGGCTCCATCCAAAACTCCCTAAAAAAATTACCCCAACGAGGAATATAACTTACTTCAAATGGCTAGGAAACCTAACCTTGCATGAACAATACCCTTGCCTCTACATAGCCAGACCTAAATATATCACTATAGTAGATTTTCTTGGATCCTCTCTACCAACCTCTCTTCGTTGGGAACTCATAGGTCCCAAGTTAGTAGCATGGAATGGTTTGTTACAACATATTACTAAAAGTCAGCTAGCCCAAGAGCAAGACATGTTTCATTAGAGTTTAAGTGGACAATTTTCAATGAAGTTACATTGTCAAACACTAATAAACACCGAAATCCCCAAAATTGACAAACGTTGAAAACCACATTAAAGATTAAGATTTTCTTATGCTTTTTATGGAGACAGGTAATTTTGACGAGATAATCTAGCTAAGAACAACTAGCAAAGCAACAAAACATGTTGGTTTTGTCACAAAGATGAAATAATTAGGCACTCGTTCTTTGAATGTTAGACATACTGTCTGGTTCATAATCCATGTGGCTTCATGTCTAACTGAACATAATAGCATGCAACATATATTTGGCATTTGGTTAGGAGGCATTAGTAAAGAGCTAAATTCGTTAGTTCTATTAGGAGCAGCTGCTTCTTGCATTGTTTATGGCTTTGGCTAATCAGGAATGGTAGTATTTGAAAAGAAAAAAAAATATATGTTTCTCTAGTGCAGGTTTTCACTTCAATTATGCATTGGTTAAGCGCTTGATCTATCAATGAGAAGCCGGCTTTAAAGAATTTTTTTTGGTTGGTATATTTTTTCTAGACACATGGATGGCGAACTGGTTTATGGATTGATAGCCACTAGAATACATGGTCCACTCTTTGCTTTTTGGCTGTGTGCTTCTTGTTAGTCCGAGGTCAGAACTCAGAAGTACTTTTAAGGCCTTCTATCATGTAGATGTAACTAGTGTTCAAAATTTCGGTGAAATTTTGCTGAAATTTCACGAATTTTGGTAATGTTGGGGTGGCCGAAAGAAAATTCTGAAATTTTTTATTACACTAATACATGTGCTATATAACTCTAGACTCATATTTTCCATTGTTTATGTTCTATATTCTTCTACTCAATAGATGTGTAGGCATAAATCATGCTTATATTATGTTTAAATCTAAAAGTTTTAGAAAAAATTACACTTCATGTTTAAGTCTCCAAAAAAATTTGGTAAAATTTTGACCAAATTTCGTGAAAATCGATATCATCGTGGGTGGCTAAAAAAGTTCTAATACTGAAATTTAAAAATCCTAGATGTAACGCTGAAAGATTTCTTTACTAAGAAAAGGTTAATCATGACAATATCATTTGAGACGGTAATGTACTCCCTCCATCCCAAATTATAAGATATTTTGGTTTTTTTAGATATATAGTTTTTGTTATGCACTTAGATAAACAATACGTCTAGTTGCCCGAGCGGCTCCAGCTCCGCGTGCTAATGTGCACTACTGTATGTTCCTGTAGCACTAACAAACTGGCTCTGGCTCCTTCTGTCTTTGCCTATGAAACCAATAGAGCCAGCAGAGTTGCGTTTCCCTTACTCCTCCGGCTCCGCGCTACAAGGAGAAAGGATCTCTCTCTCTAAAAGATATATAGACTACAGCTGACAATAATGAAGGAACCTATCATACCATGTTCAAACAATAAATGATAACTTGTATGTTTAAAGAACATGCATCTAGGGTTCGCACTGCCGGTTGTGACGCAATTATCGAAGGGGCAAGTAGGAATGAAAATCATCAAAATTTAACCAGAATTTTCAAAACTCTAGGAAATTTTGTCTATTTTTAAAATATGAATAAATATAATCCAAACAATATACATTTAGCGAAGTTTACTGGTAGGAGCAAAAATGCACGAAAATCATGACTTAAAAATAAAAACCAGACTGCCAGTGTAAGAAGGGGCAGATTTTTCTTTATGATGTTTTACTACATCTTCTTCTGATTAAAAGCCTTAATTGTAGGTTTTAAAGAACGAACAAGAGTAATAAAAAAACAATATTTTTATGGTCGTGATAGGGGATTTGTAGCGGATGGTGGATTCTTTTTTTTTTAGAACCCGGAAAAAACAAGGTGCATCGAAACGAATAGCTGGGAAGGCGACTGCAATACTCTATCTGCAAGCTAAAGACTAAAGCTGCGAATAATGTAGGAATGAATCATATCATGCTCAAAGTAGAAAAGGTAAAGGGTATAACTTGCAAGGTGCGTCCCGTAAACCACAAGGCATCTCAGGATGGAGGCGCAGCCGTGCCAAGGGCATTTTGACAGGCTTTAATCTAGCATTGATTTGCTTTCTTTTAGATAACGAGCATTGCTTTGCTTGTATGATTTATCTCAAGAAGTGAACATGTGTTAAGCAAGAACACTTTTATTAGCACACTTTGATAAAACATTGGCTAATCAAGCCTTCTGTGAGATAGTTAGAATCCTTCACTATGACTGAAAATTCTCTCATATCCTCTTGCAAAAGGATCTCAAAATTATCAAACATTCAACAGTGCTTATCAGCAGGTATCTTCGTGTAAGATCTATCTTCGACAGCCAGAGCTTGCCATGCCTAAGACTTGCCCGTATTTTTTTTCTCTCTTAAGCTTAGAGAAACGCTCCTTCCAAGTAAAGTAAGAACAGAATGCTCAAATGACCAATGTTACGGAAAGAGGAAAACTACCGCTCAAGTGATAATGGGCATCTCATCAGTCAGGACCTTTGTGGACGCCGTTGTGGCTGCACCAGTCTTACCTTGGTGGACACCCACCATGGATGGCACCATGCATCCTTGCCGCTGACGGTGCGGCCACACTTTCGTCGCCATGTCTTCATTTTCAGACCTTGAGAATAGACATAGGTTGTACGGGATCATGCTCTGCTTATTCTAACACTTCTCTTATAAATTACTTTGTAATAGAAATCTGATATCATTATATGCTAGAGTTATTTCAGATATACACTTCTTTTCTTGTTGAGAACAACCTCAAGTTCATGCCCTCTGCTTACGTAATGATTGTACCTTGGAATATATAGCAACGGATAATGATTGTACTGAAATAAATATTTGTTGATTCCTTTTGTCCAATGTGCATAAAGCTACTCATGCATGGATGTTACTAACCTCTGTGGACACTGAACAATGAACTCATCTTCTCTGTTCAGCCTTCAGCGAATTCAGTTTTAGGGTCATTGCACCACTCCTTTAGCCTTGACCCTTCATAATATACTCCCTAGAACTTGCATTAGATTTTTGTGATAGTGTTTTACTCATTTCTGACTTGGACGTCTGGTTATTATCTGATAATTCTTCTAATCTGTTTTCTGACTTGGACGTCTGTTTATTATCTAATAATTCTTCTAATCTGTTTTCACAGTCCCGTGTTGCTCATTTCTGACTTGGAAGTCTGGTTATTATCTGATAATTCTCGCAGTTAGATTGTTGTGAGGGTGTTTCTTTTTCTACTCATTTCTGACTTGGACGTCTGGTTGCAGTTAGTGGTGTTTCTTTTCCTACTCATTTCTGACTTGGACATCTGGTTGCAGTTAGATCTTTGTGATGGTGTTTCTTTTCCTACTCATTTATCTTATAATTCGTGTTGCAGTTAGATTTAGGCCTCCTTCGTTTCGTTGGAAACCATTCCTGGCCGCCGTTTTCTTCAATAATTTAAATAACGTGGGAAGGGTTCTAGCCAGGAATGGCCCGGAATGGGGCTAACCGAACGGTGCCTTAGGTGTTTCTTTTCCTACTCATTTATCTGATAATTCATGTTGCTGTTATATTTATGAACTCTTCTTCGGTCAGAATTCAACTTCATCAGTACAAGTGGCTGAGGCTTCTTCAGGGTGTTTCTTTTACTACTCATTTATCTGATAATTCATGTTGCAGTTATATTTATGAACTCTTCTTCAGAATTCAACTTCTTCAGTACAGTGGCTAAGGCTTGGCTGAGGATTTCGACAGGACTTTGGAGGGACCATAATTGAGCGGACAGAGTTCATCCCGTTAAGAACGGCAGACTGAACTACTTGAGCCAACATTTTTGCTGATACCATTCCAGAATCCACTTTCTTTTAACAGACGCACTTGAGCAAAACACTTTCTTTAACAGACGCACTTGAGCAAACATTTTTGCTGATACCATTCCAGAATCCACTTTCTTTAACAGTTAAAGACCGGTCGCAGCTACATATGGATTCACCATTGCAAAACAACAGAGTTGAGTTTAGCGATGGAACATGCGGACATTCCAGACATCAACCTGCTGAGTGCGGACAAGGATCCATGCCCACATAATCCTGTTCTGAAACAAAAGACATCCGGAAACGAGAACTTAACCAGGCATTCACCAAACTAAACAGTTGCCAAAAAAAAAACAGATGAAATATTCCTTCATTTGATCTACCAGAAAAAAACCGTCACCTCTATCTGATTGAACAAGTGATTATACCCATCAGGCACAGCACACAAATGACCAACAAGAACTAAATTCTACAGAGCGTGAAGGGTCCTGGTCTAACCATGTAAAAACAAATCAGCAGCAGGGGATGCCGCAGAGGTGACATAAGTTCCTATTATACACTCAGAAATATTAAGAGTTCTCAAAATAAGCAGGCGCCGGAACAGCCAAGCACATCAAAAATAGGTCTCTACGTCTCCCTTCGGGTCCGCCGACGCGGGGCTGCTGTCTCCTCCTTTTCGTCCTCATTCTCATCCTTGTCGCCACTGCTTCCAGCACCGTCGGTTTCTGTGGCCTTGGGCTTCTTCGCCTCAGCTGCAGGTTTCACAGGTGCCTGGAACAAGCAAATGTAGTGGATTGAGCATTCTCTTCAAGTTAAGAACCGTGGCAGCAGTAATACATTGGTTGGGAATAACTTACCACTGGCTTCTTGCCACCAAACAGGATCCTGAAGAAAACAGTAACGAACACGACGACAACGGAGACCAAAATACCAATAGTGATGTTGGGCTGCTTCTCTCCCTTCTCGATAACATCCTGTGTACGAGATATACATAGAACATGTTATTTTCTCGATAACAAGAATCCTGACGTTTGACAGGAGAGGATAGCAAATATCTCCAAAACTCACAATGATCTTGGCCTTGTAGGGAGCCAAGAACGGAACATCAGCAACCTTGTACAGGATGTCAAAAATCTTCTTCTGCAGGGGCAAAACCAGTTAGGGACACGATGGAACAACGATGATAATAAATATAGAAATAACAGTTATGGCTGCAAAAGATCAGAAAAAAGGATCACCTGGAACTCAGAAAGACCATCTGCACCACCAGCAGCCTCCTCAGCCTTCTCCTTTTCCTTCTCAACATCATACTTGGGCTTCCAGGTCTTCTCCAGAATGGAGGTGGCAACCTTCTCATCATCAGCAATCAAGATATTGTCAAACAGGATGCCATCCTGCATTGTCCAGATCTCAATCCCAATAGCAGCAATTGGATCAAAATCAGGCTTGTCAAGCTCAAAGTACTCAGGGTTGGGGATCTCCTGAGGCTTCCAGATTCCCTTGTAGTTGGGGTTGTCAATCATAGGTGCATGCCACTTGCCCTTGTAAGCAGGATTCTGCTTCATTGGCCTCTTCCACTCGCCACATCCAGGTGCCTCTTCACACTTGGGGTTGTCAATCTTTGGCGCCTCCCATTCACCATCCTCCTCATCGTCCCAGTCCTCAGGCTTGGCTGCCTCAGGATCATCAATCTCCTCAGGTTCATCATCCAACCATCCCTCAGGCTTGGTGGCTTCCTCATCCACAATTTCCATCGGGGCATCCTCATCCCAGTCATCAGGCTTCACTGCATCTGGATCAGGGATTTTAGCTCTCTCATCCCAGTCCTCTGGCTTCTTGTCATCAGGGTCAGGAATGGTCTTGGGCGGGATAAGTGCTGGCTCAAAATCATCAGCAGAAAGGAAGTTTGCCTTCTTCTTTTCTTCCCCATCAATCAAAATTCTGACCTCATTGTCTGGCTTCAAGATAGCCGTGTAGACATGAGAGAGCTTGTCATATGGGATAGAAGGTGGGAATTTGAGGTGATGCTCAACATACTTTCCAGTTTTAGGATTCTTGTGCTTAAGGATGAAATGAACCTTGTTGGTTGACCCACACTTATCTGGACCAAACATAATAGTGTATGGAGTCTCATTATCAAACTCCTTGGCATCCCATCCAGCATCCTGAGGGCGGATGTACTTAATGTAGGCACCTCCACATTCAAGGCCATTCTGAAGTCTCACTTCAAACTGCAGGACCACTGTCCCATCCTTCAAGGTAACTGGCTCATCAAGCTCCTTGATTATGGCGTATTTCCTTGCCTTCTCACTGACAAGGAGGCCATAGTCCTCATGGCCATCACTCTTGGCATGCTTCCACACACCTACAAACCAGAGTATGTAGGCATTAAGCTATGAAACAGACAGAGAAAAAAAAGAAAGAACAGAAATTATGACTAGTAGCAACAATGTTCAAACAGTGGCAGGCAACTAGTAGTAAAAATATGGATTGCATATAAGAATACTGTTTAAAGCGGCATTACAGGACCAAGACACTACTCCCTCCATCCACAGATGCAAGCAACATGTTTCAGAAAGTGTAACTTTGCACATTTTGACTAAAGGGCGTACCCAGTGCAGAGAGCTCCCGCTCTGTGCGGGGTCTGGGGAAGGGTGTTAGTGGCAAGCCTTACCCTCGCCTATGCAATGCGAGGAGACCGCGACTCGAACCTGGGACCTTCCGGTCACAGGCGGTAAGACTCTACCGCTTGCACCAGGCCCGCCCTTCACATTTTGACTAACAAGTAGTAAAATTATGGTAGCATTTAGTGTACAAAGGCTGTATAGATTCATATTCAAATTATGACCAGTGACAACAATGTTAACAGATAAATAGCATATTAGAAAAATCTAACAGGCACCTAGTTAGGATTGCAAGCTTACTCCATATGAAGAATGTTTAATGTGGCACAGGATTACAGGAATATAAGATACCACTAGCAAACTGAACATACTGACAATTTTATTCTTTTTTGAATAGCCTAGTTCATTAACACATGCATATAAATAAAATTATCCAAAATCTCTCCTGATGTCTCATGCTATATTCTAGTAAGTTTACCCAGTCTAGATGAGGTTACTTTCGATTCTCAAAGCATCAGTACATTTTGGCAGTTCCAGAAACATCAACCATTCATATCAACAATGAGCGCACACAGACAGAAACCAGTCACTTCAATGATCCCTGTTCATAACCGCTACAAACCATTGTAACTTGTGTCGGCACAGCACAGTCAAAAAGTTATACGGTAAGCTGGAAGGAGACGACACTCCTCGATTGCATAGTACGCTGGAACGTTGAGCAGTGGCGAAGCTACGTTCTGCCATTGGGGTCAGCCGACACCGACGGTTTCGAGCCGGACCCCAGTAAAAAATACATGCGACCCCGTCAGCCTGGTAGTCCAGCGTCGTAGCTCTGGCCCATCGGCCAAGTCTACACGGACATGCAACAACTATACAAGGAGCTTGCACGTGCAGGCTAATAAGCCCACCCCGAAGGCCCACTTTCAACTTCATGCCCCTACGTACAAGTCTACAGGCAGCAACCCCACAAGTCCAAACGTCGCCTCCGAGTCTCCAATGCTACAACTCGCATTTTCCCATCGCAACTCCACCTGCATCTGGTCTGGTGGCGGCGATGATCGAGAGGTCACGACTCGCCAGCGCCATCGCCGGCGCCTGGTTGCCGCCAGTGATATCGCTATATGCTCTCCGATCCGTACTCAAGCACCTGGAGGGAGGTACATCAAATAACTTGATTCTACGATTGATAATGATCTATTTTCTTGATCTATCACAATGATGTCTGCTGTCTGCACTTTATTTATTGATTTATCAAGTATAAATTGTAAGGTCTTTGGGGGTAGTTGGGTTTTCTTTTCTTTCAGTTTTATAATCTGAAGTTCTAAAATCTTAATTCAGAGATAGGATTCTGTTGCTTTCCGTTGCAGCAAAGAATTGACTACTTCAGTATGGCTTCTGTTACAGTATTGATTTTTCAATTTTAATCATATGTGTGGCTGCTTTCCCATCAGTATCAATATACTTTAGTGTTTAATTATGTGACTAATTTGATAGGCAATCAAAACACATTGGAACGATTCTTGAAAAGAAAATTACCCCCGCCCAATGATAACTATAAAAAATGATGGAGATATTTTAAGAAGAAGAGACAGCACTGCATCAAATACAAATCATACTTTCTAGCCACAATTCCAATCGATAATGTGATCATCCTTCACTTTCACAAGATGGAGCACCGTAACCCTAAAGGGAACCTATAGGAGGTAACTACTACTGTCGAAACTTCTTTTGCTATAATTTGTCGGTTCCTATAATGCTATTTTACATTTGTTGATGTTGTATTATTGTTGCAACCTTAAAGTTAGCACTGTGGGTTTGTTCAGACCCCGGTGGCAATTAATCCTGGCTTCGCCCCTGACGTTGAGGCTAGCCACAGCTCTGCATCTAGAGCGGCGGGTGCTGCCAGCGAAGCACATCCGGTCGAAGTCGAACTAAAGCACATACATGACTGACAGTATCGATCGTGGATCTCATGAGTAATTACACAGTTATCTCCCAATTTAAACACCGGACACTACGATCTCAGACGAAGAAGCTCCCACAACCCCACTAAACCCACGGATCTAAACAGATCTAGCGAAACCACAACGAGGGCGAGAAATAGATGCGCGCGCATACCTTGGTAATCATCCTTCTTGGAGACGACCCATCTCCCCTCAAAGTCCTCGTCGAACGGCTCGTACAGCAGCTGCAAACAACACCACCGATACCCGGAGAGACCATCACAAATCTCGCCCACAAAATTCAGAGAGACAATAAAAAACAAAATAGCCAAATCGCCACAGGCTCGCTTAGATTACCGGGTCGGAGGCGCGGATCTGAACGAGCAGCGCCGAGACCAGGAGCAGCAGCAGCGCGCGCCCTCCCATCATCCTCTCTGTCCCGATCTCCTCGAGCCGGGGGGAGTTTCTCGAAACCTTCCAACTAGAGCGAAGCGTCGTCCGCGAGAGGGAGCAGAGGGAGGGGGTATAAGAAGTGGGCGATGTGGAGTGACTGCACGGCTGAGATTAGGAGAGGGGGAGAAGGAACGGTGGAGATCGATCGATCTGGGCAGGAGGGCCGGCAGTTGCGAGGAAAAGGCCGTCGTGTGACTTGTTCCGGCCAATGGGAGGGTGCGGGACGTGGTGCTGACCAATCGCACGCTGCCACGTCTGACTCGTGACGCCTCGGTCATGTAGGACGCAATGTCAGCCGCCCCACGCACACGCACAACGGTGGTATCCGGCCAGCCGGTCAAAGTGGGGTATGGGCATGGGCGTATGGCATCTCCATCCCGAAATACGGAGTACGTATAAATTTTGAGTTATTTTCACGTGTGCCATCATAAAAGTTCAAAATTCCGTATCTACTGCTAAAAAAGTGTTATGGACACTGGTGATATTACTGCGAACTTTTTATTTTCTCTACATGTCACTTCTATCACATTTGTGTCAAGCGGAAAATAACCATGTTGCTCTCAAGTCCGTAGGAGTTCTAAATTCCTTCTGTTTTTCTTCTATACCACTTAAGTCGTTTAGAATTATAAATTTCTTTCTTTTCCTCTGGTGCCGCTTCGTCCAAACTGTTGTGGTGTCAAAATTTAATAAATCTTTTTATCAACACTCATTTAATTGGGATTTCAAATTATTTGAAACACTAATTTAAATATTTTTTTATTTTTTTGCATGAGCTTTGGAAGAGGCCATTAGAACATCTCCAAGAGATTAGCCAAAAAGACTAGCTAAATTTACTGATTTAACTACTCTTTAAATTAGATTTGACAAAAAAAATACTAAGTACTCCAACAGACTCTGTAAACTAAGAGGCTAGATGGCTAGTGAGGTAGACTATCTAAAATTAGAGAGCGAATGAGGTGGGATGAAGAGCTACTCAATTTGGAGAGCCTTTACAACATCTGTTGGAGATGATTTTCCTTTAATAATAGCTAAATTCACCTTTAAAAAATGATTTGGCTAATCTCTTGTAGGTGCTCTTACCACTCTTTTTTTTTTTTTTGCATTACATCACATTTGTGATCTGCTATGAATAGAGCACCAAACACATACATGCTGAGCCTGATATAAGGCAGCAAGAAAATGATAAAATTTAGGATTCTTGCATCCCCTAGGAACACATGGTTAATATGTGCCTATATGTGTCGAGTTGTGACGAGTGATTATCAGGAGATGATCAAGCTTCGGTTCAGTTTGAGACTAATCATAGCGTGAGTGTGTGGGCAACATGTCTCTTAGCTGTGTTGGTGTGCATATGTGAGTCTTGGACCGAGAGAAGAAGATGGCCAGAAGACTAACTGTGGGTAGCTAACACTTGTGGACATCAACAAGCAAGGGTACATGAGGAGTAGCCGCGTTGATCAAGTCAAGACGATGGTTGACCATGTCAAGCGGAGACGAAAGAGGACCGGTGATCGGGTGGTCGAGGATGATGGTGACACGTGTCGATATCGTGCAAGAGGCATAGCAGATACGCTTCTCCAAGGGATTTGGTGGTTTGGGCTTCAAAACCATCGACAGGCGGTTTTCAGGTTTGGGCCTCAAAACCCGGTTGTAGTTTCGGCAGGAATGTGAAGCGGTATGTGGTGTCATCCCGAAGTTTGCGTCAAGTCGAAACAAAATCGTGAAGAGCTCGTGGCCGTTAGATGCACCAATCAAGAGATGGACCGTTTTGCCCTTGAGGTTCCAATGGGCATTCAACCTTGGGCCCTTCCCCATTTGAGGTGATGTATGGTTACCCTACTCGTCAATTTGGCGTCAGCCTAGAGACTGATCAACCAGCGTCTTGGTTGACCGATCGTGAATTGATGACGGAGGTGATCCGACAACATCTAAATCGAGAAGAGTGCATGAAGTGTCAGGTGGATCAACGGTGTTCATGATTAGGTGTTCGTGAAGATACAACCATAGGTGCAGTCATCTCTAGCGCAACACAGTCATCAGAAACTGTCTTTTAAGTTCTTCGGACCCTGTCGTATTTTGGCTTGCATTGGTTCCATCGCATATCGACTTGAGCTTCCGGCTTCTTCCTCCATGCATCATGTCTTTTTTTTTAGGGAAACCGGAGCTTCATTAATCCTGAACAAATTTACAATCACTGTTTATGATATCTGTGAGACCAGGTGGGGTTATAGGCCACTCCACCACCTGATTGTCACGGTCTACCAAGCATGAGCTAACTTATTACAGCTTCTACTTATGAAACAAAAATCAAAAGCATCAAAACTCCGGCTTAGCTCCTCCATCTGATCGAGAAGAGGGGAAATCTCAGATTCTTGATTTGATCGGTTCAGCCACAGGCTAACCAAGACTTGACAGTCCGTTTCCAGAAGCAATCTGTTGACTCCTCGCTCCTTTGCCAATTGCATCCCATCACAGCACGCCAGAGCTTCGGCTGCAAGAGGATTCAAGCAGTATTCATACCATTTGGCTGTGCCTCCACACGTTCTACCATCTTGATCCCGAAGCACTGCACCAGACGCCGCTGAGCGATCACCTGCGTAGTAGGCTGCGTCGACGTTACACTTTATCCAACCGGGGGAAGGTTTCTCCCAAGATTTCAGTGTGCTAGCCGAGCTCCGTTCTTTCTCCGGATGAACCATTTGCCAGAGATCAAAGGCTGTGTCTACTGCCCACTGAACCGATATACTCATTGGAAGTGAATCTTTCCCACGGCGTCTACTATTTCTCGCCATCCATAGCGACCACATTCTGCACAAGATCACAGCTGTAGCTCTTGGTGGAAATAAAGCTGGGTCAATTAAATCCCGAGTCCAAGTGAGAGGGTGCAAAGGCGTGATTTTGATGCCAGCGATAGCCTTTGTGTGAGCCCAGAAGGACCTCGCCATTGTGCACTCCAGCAGAACGTGTTTGATGGACTCCTCTCCACATACGTCGCAGTTCGCAACAGGTTCAATGTGTCTACGATTCAGGATCTCCTTGGCCGGGAGGTAGTCATTGACAACTCGCCACCAGAAGACACGAACCTTGCATGGGCAGCACACACAATTTCCAGATTCAAGCCCACGCCGCATCGCCCGATATTGAGGCTTGTTCCGTGCCTTGCTGTTGGCGTTGGTCATCATACAAACGACGGTACTCCGACCACAGAGAGTACAGCCCACTTCTCTCCAATTCCCATGCCCAAACGTCATCTCCAGCACCTCTAACCGGCAAGCTCAGGATGGCCTGGACATCCACATCAAAAAACAATTGCCTGATCAGCTCTTTGTTCCAGTTTCCACTCGGTGTCAGCAGGTCCGACACCAAACTAACTTGCGCCTGAATAGGGGTAGTTATCAGCTTCCCATCAAAGTGATTAGGAAGCCACCGATCCTGCCATATTCGTGTCAGGCTGCCATCACCAATTCGGCGAACTAGTCCCTTGGACAGTGCTTCTCTACCCGCCATGATAGCCCTCCATGTTTCACTGGAGTGTTTCTTTCTGGTGGCGTGCAGGAAGTCTGAGTCATGATAATATTTGCCCTTCAAAACTCTAGCACATAGAGAGTCAGGATATTTGATCAATCTCCAACCTTGTTTACCTAGCATGGCCAGATTAAAAAGTCTCAAATCACGGAATCCCATTCCGCCCTCCACCTTTGGTCGGGTGAAGAGTTCTCACCGTTGCCGGTCAATGCGCCTGCTATCTGCCGCGCTCCCCCACCAATAGTTCGAGATGACCGATTTCATTTTACGACAAGAATCCTTCGGGATCAAAAAGCAGCTCATCGGATAGGTTGGCACTGCTTGAGCAACTGACTTGAGCAGCACCGCCCGGCCCGCACAGCTTGCTTCGCGGCCGCTCCAGGTTCCCACCCGATTCCTGATCCGAGTTGGCAGGAATTCGAAGGCCTCCTTCGTGGATCGCCCCAGTGCAGTGGGTAAGCCCAGATATCTCTCCGCTAAAGCTTTAGTGTCAATTTGCAAAACTTCCCTCACTTCTTGCTTGCTTGCTTGCATCACCACAATTTTTACTGAAAAAGATCGCTGACTTTTCTTTGTTTACAAGCTGTCCCGAACCCTGGCCATAAATATTCAGGATCTCTTGCAAACGCTGGGCGCCCCTCTGAGAAGCTTCTGAGAATATAATGCAGTCGTCAGCAAACAATAAGTGAGAGATCCATGGAGCATGAATCCCGACCCGCACACCTCTGGCCAAGTGCAACGGTCCAACTGATCGTAATAGGCAAGAGAGACCTTCAGAGCATATAAGAAATAGGTATGGGGAAATGGGTCCCCTGTCTAATCCCTCTTGACGGTTTGAAAGGCTCTGACATGTTGGCCCCTCGATCTTCTCACCGGCGTTGCGGACCACACTTTATGGCTAGAGGTAGAAAAAAAGAGGAAGAACAGAGCGCACACACACAGCACAAGCATCAGTGTTGGTCGGAGCTTTGCAGAGGAGATGACAAAACTGAACTCGCTCTCTTTACTGGAGTTGCAGTGGAAAGTTATAAATACAACTCTACCCATCTAATCCTAGTACACAGACATGTCAGGCTGTCATGCTGCTACAGTGACTAGATGTGACAGCAGGACTGACTTTGATGCATGCCCCTGCTGCAGTGTAGCAGCAGGAGAGCCCTTTCGATGCCTGCCCTTGCCGTACGTACAGAGGGAGAGTGACAGATTACTTTACAATTCTTCCTTTAATCCTACGGCTAACCCTAGAGCCTCCATCATGCCGATCATTTTCTTCAGCTCGTGAATCGAAGACGGTCGAGCGGCTTGGTGAGGACGTCCGCGAGTTGCCGACCACTTTCAACGAACTCGATGACGATCGGCCCTCCATCGACACAGTCCCAGAGGAAGTGTAACTTGACATCAATGTGCTTGCTCCGGTCGTGGAGAACTGGATTTTTCGCGAGGACGATGGT